GGGTTTCCCTCTTTTTTTTAATCACTTCCTAGATAATTTCACGTTTTTGTTGTTTACAACAATGAGCTTAATTGTTCTATTTCTGAGCGGCCCAAAGCATGGAGTTTTATGAGGGATTATTTTTAAGGAAAAAGGGGTTCTCACCAGGAGGCTGGGTTGCACCATTCATCCATTGAAAGGAATATTTAATGTGTATTTTAAATTAAAAATCAATAGACTGTTTCCTTAGCAATTTAGTGTTTATGGAAATGTATCCATTGTTTTAGAATGGGAAAACAAAACTTATTTGCAATGCATAAATCTAAATGCGTATTTAGCTCAAGTTTAAGAAGACTTTATAAAAGCTCCTAACCCTTAAGAGGGCAGTACTTAAGAAAAGTTGTCATTCACTGTACACATAAAGAGCTGTAATTAGTGGTTATGACTAGTCTAATAAATTAATTTTTTTTTCCTAATTTCATTCTCTTCTTCCTTTCAGGTTTATGACCGGCCACAAAAACATTCTGCTCTGCACTACGATCCGGGCCTCCAGCAAGACTACACCGGTGATACCTTAAAATCAAAGCACCAGCAGAAAAGTAGCAACCAGCACCATCTTGACTGGTCAGCAAGCTCTGATACTGGATCCACATCTCAGAGTTGTTTCATCAATACAGAGTGCAGTCGAGAAGCTGTTAGTGCCACCAAGGTCCCCGCTCCAGAGCCAGTAGTCTCTTTCAGCAAATCCCAAGCAAAGAAATCCTGTGCCGGAAGCACCTGGGGACAGCTGTCGGCCAGTAGTAAAGAGCTTGCCATTTGCAGTGCAGTCCCATCACCCAACAACATCGGCGCAGCTGCCCCTAGCAGTGCTTCTGAGTGCAATGGGCTTTTGCCTCTTGTCGATCCGGAGGGAGGTGTGCAGCTGGAGGCCCCCGATCAGCCTACAGGGACTACAAAGAAGAAGTCCAGCAAAAAAGACTTGATAAGTCAAACCATCCCAACTACAGACATTGAATGGGTGAAGAGTGCGCAGAAAGCATTTGACAGCAAAAGCCATGACAGCATGGATGGGAAAAAGGAGTCTTACTCAATGGATGGTGTGTTAGATGCATCACCCACGAAGCAGAATCCCAGTTCTGCTAGCAGTTCCGAAAGTGACACCAGTCATGTACGAATTACTATCCCAATAAAGTCTCCAACAACAGATACGTCTGGCCACAAAAGGAAAAAAAGGCAGTCTGCAAAATCTTCCATAGAGAAAACTATCCAGGAGAAAAGCCTGCCTTCCGGACTTCCTATGAGCAGTGAAGTAGCGAATAGGACCAGTTCGCAGTCAGAGGGGAGTAAAAAAGATCTTCGAGCCACAAAGCCAGGGAAAGTGATTGAAAATGAGTCCCCTTTAGTAGCTATTGAAAGCAGTGTGCTCACTGACAAAGCTTCCCCCAACAGTGCCACTAGGCTCAGAAAATCTGTAGCTGTGACATCCACGCTCCTACCTACCGATCTTCCCACAGCTAGCAAATTGTCTGAGGTCCAGCACCCCAAACTTGCAGCTAAGCGGAGATGGACCTGCAGCAAACCTAAATCTATCCTTCGGGAGGCCTCCATGGCAACATCTGAGAAGCTGATGGTGGAGCCTCCTTCAGCCTATCCCATCACACCATCCAGCCCTCTGTATACCAATACAGACAGTCTTACTGTGATCACACCTGTCAAGAAAAAAAGAGGACGACCAAAGAAACAGCCTTTGCTCACTGTTGAAACCATTCATGAGGGAACCTCCACCAGCCCAGTGAGTCCAATCAATCGCGAATTTCCAGGAACAAAGAAAAGGAAGAGGAGACGGAACCTGGCCAAGTTGGCTCAGATGGTCCCAGGAGAGGACAAGTCCATCAGTGAACTCAAGTTTCACAAAAAGGTTGGGAAGCTCGGGGTCTTGGATAAGAAGACCATCAAGACCATTAATAAAATGAAGACCCTCAAAAGGAAGAATATTCTCAATCAGATCTTGTCGTCCTGCTCCAGCAACATAGCTCTAAAAGCAAAAGTTCAGCCACCGTCTAGTGCTGGGCCAACAACCATTGATGCCAGACTAGGGAAGCAGATCAATGTCAGCAAGAGGGGGACTATCTACATTGGCAAAAAACGGGGCAGGAAGCCCAGAGCAGAGCTGCAGCCTCAGCCAGAAGAACCTAAGACAGCCATCAAGCACTCAAGGCCTGTTTCCAGCCAGCCAGAAAACCCAGCAGTGCCTTCCAACCTGCAGTCACTTGTGGCATCGTCACCAGCAGCTATTCATCCACTTTCAACACAGTTAGTGGGGACTAATGGCAACCTTAGCCCTGCAAGCACTGAAACGAATTTTTCAGAGTTAAAAACTATGCCAAATCTTCAACCTATCAGTGCTCTTCCTACAAAAACCCAGAAAGGAATGCACAGTGGAACTTGGAAGCTGTCTCCACCCAGGTTAATGGCTAATTCACCTTCCCACCTCTGTGAAATAGGTTCTCTGAAAGAAGTCACGCTGTCACCAGTGAGCGAGTCTCACAGTGAGGAAACCATACCAAGCGACAGTGGGATAGGTACAGACAACAACAGCACTTCTGACCAAGCCGAAAAGAGCTCAGAATCCCGCCGGAGATATTCCTTTGATTTCTGCACCCTGGACAATCCAGAGGCGATCCCATCTGACACCAGCACAAAGAACAGGCATGGTCACCGGCAGAAACATCTCATCGTGGATAATTTTCTCTCTCATGAGAGCATTAAAAAGCCAAAGCACAAGAGGAAAAGGAAAAGCCTGCAGAACAGAGATGACCTCCAGTTTCTGGCAGACCTTGAGGAACTCATCAATAAGTTTCAAGTGTTCAGGATTTCCCATAGAAGTTACACGTTTTATCATGAAAATCCATATCCTAGCATCTTCAGGATTAATTTTGATCACTACTACCCTGTGCCATATATCCAATATGACCCATTGCTCTATCTTCGCAGGACCTCGGACATGAAGTCTAAGAAGAAGCGTGGTAGACCTGCCAAAACCAATGACACCATGACAAAGGTGCCTTTTTTACAAGGGTTCGGTTACCCTATTCCCAGTGGGAGTTACTATGCACCCTATGGAATGCCTTACACGTCAATGCCTATGATGAATCTTGGTTACTATGGTCAGTATCCAGCTCCTTTGTACCTGTCTCACACGCTCGGAGCGGCTTCCCCATTTATGAGACCTACCGTGCCCCCACCCCAGTTCCATGCAAGCTCTCATATGAAGATGTCCACCACTGCCAAGCATAAAGCGAAACACGGAGTGCACCTGCAAACGCCTGTGGGAATGGGCCTTGGAGACATGCAGTCCTCTCTGGCTCCTCCGAAGGTTGGAGGGACAAGCCTTTCAAGTGGCCGACTTCACAAAAGGAAACACAAACATAAGCACAAGCATAAGGACGAGCGGATATTGGGGACACACGAAGATCTGAGTGGTCTCTTTGCTAGCAAGTCCACTGGCTTCTCCAGCCATGCGATCAATGAAAGGCTAAGTGGCTCAGATAAAGACCTCTCCTTGCTCACTGAGAAAAGCAAGCATAAGGAGAAGCAGAAGCACCAGCATTGTGAAACCGGACACAAAGGCTCGAAGAGTAACTTTGAAGTGGATACGCTGTCTACGTTATCACTTTCTGATGCCCAGCAGTGGACACAGAGTAAAGATAAAAGTGACTCAAGCAACGATCCCATTGACTCTTGCACAAAGAGATACTCTGGTAATACGGAGAGTAATGCAAGGTCAGAGTCCCTGGACATGTTTGGTGAAATGAATTCCTCGAGTGACAAGCGCGACAATGATGCAAGTGGGAGTAAAAGAAGAAGCTTTGAAGGGTTTGGAACTTACAGGGAAAAGGACATTCAGCCCTTCAGGACAAATAGGAAGGACAGAAGTACTTACGATTCTTCGGCCTCTTCAGGTAGGCTCCTATTTATTCTATTTCATTTTACTGCGTTTTATTTTTAATGCTGAACAAAGATGGACTTGCCATTTTCCACAGCTATGTTTCTGAGTCACTCGCTTCTCTGGCTTTATGTAGTGGACTCCCATTTTCCATCCAAGCTTTGGAGAGACTGGCGAGAACGTTGACTACATATCAAGCCAAAAGCTTCAAAAGGCTTTGAATTGTTACACGGCTTTTTTTATAAATATTTTTCCTGCCTTTTTGCCATTCATCCTAGCTTGTTGCACTTCCTCCAAAAATCTGTGTTTGCATTCTGCAACAGAAACAATTATAGTGCCTACTGGCAAAGCAAACATCCCTCTTACTGGAATCTAATATCTCTCGGTGGCAGTCGTCACCCCACCTTTGGGAGTACAGTCACAGTACGGAGCAGAGATTCTCCTCTCTGGCCGGTGAAGCCTACAAAAGCCATTCACTGATGGCCTGGGCTAGAAGTGTGGGAAGTTGCAGAGTTGGGTCAGCGTCCCACGATTATAGTGTGGTGTGGTGCCAATCCAGGGTGCCAATCCATCATGGTGATGGCCACACTAAATATATGGAGACCCTTGGTACAATCCTCGTGTAAATCTGTCACTTCCAGTCGGCAGGTGTCATGTAGAGTAATTATCCTGAGCATTGAGTGGCTGTGGGAAGAAGCTGGTGTCATGGAAACAATAAGTCCTAGCTGATTGACTCTTGAAGAGTTTTAGGACTCATGACTTGGAAATATAAGCTGGGTTGATGGGGAGGAAGGAAGCTCCTTTCGGATGCTTGAGACATCTGTTCCTCTCCCACGGGGGGGGGGAAGATTCAGATTCCCGTGTCTGAGAGACTGAATTGTACTTTACAATGGAGACCTGCCTTCATGATGACGCAGAGGCAGGTGTTTTGCTGCAGTATAAGTGAATTTAGCTTGGGAGCAAGCCCAGAGCTCCTGCACCCTCAGATATTTATCACAAAGCAGATTTCACACTTGATTCTGGAAAAGGGTGAGCTTTACTGAACCAACCAGCGGTGGATGAGATTCTCATGTGCTAAAAAAGGGCTTCAAAGCAGCGTAATGCATAGCCTCCAAAATGAAAAGGCAGAATCAGCTGAGAACACAGTGGGAGCTGAGAATTTATATAACCTGCCAATGTGAGGCTCTTAAGTTTTTTATTAACTTGTAGCTGATTGAAATCCAAAGACTGCTCGTGTTTAAGCCACCTAGACATTTCCATTTCCTTCCCTGAGACCAGGATCTGGACTATAGTAATGAGAAGCAGTCTAGAATGAGAGCTTATCCCACACAAACATGTCCATTCACATTATCATATTAAATCAGTGGTGACACTCAGAAGTATAGCGCACAAATTTTGGAAATGAACTGAATTCAGGCCCTAGTTGTATCAGGGTTGCTAATATACCTGTCAAAGAGCAAAACTTATTCTCCAAGCACTACGGTGGCTATTGCAGTAAGAAAGCTGCGTCCTAGCAGACGTGAGTTAAGTCTTCATAACTTTTAACTAAGCTGTTTCTCCATTATGAAGTTACTGATTTCACAGTTTTCTAACAGTTGAATTTGTAGCCTCTTTGCCTTCTGAACAGAACATGCTTGTTGAACCTCTGTTTTCCAATCCAGTATATTTCATTAGGAATAGCAAATTGTCAAGAGAAAATTATCAGTGCTGGTGAACTCAAATGAGTTTCAGAAGTGGGGGTATGATCCCCACCAGGCTGCCCTTGAAATAGAAGAACTTGTTAAGAAAAAGTCCATTTTCTGTCATTTTTCCTTCAATTTATTGTCCATGAAAATAAAAAAAAAAATAAGATGAAGTGGTAGAATTTGTAATGGGAGCTTTGTCAGATTTGCTGTTTAAACTTTTAGAACTGGTTCTCGTTTAAACTGCAGTTATTTTTATTTATTTTTACTTTTCACGTTTGCAACTGCACATCATTCCCCATGACCTAATCCATCGAGCTGCAGATTAGGAACTGGTTTCTTCATTGTCAAGCTGTTATTTAGATGGAAAAATCATCAGCAGTTAGCTAACTAGAGCCAGCTAACCAGAGCCATACCTTACACTACAAGAGGAAAAATACTAAAGCTGAACAGCTCTGCCAAGAAAGGCCTGGAGCCAAGACTGCTCATTAAAGCCTAGGAACATCTGTCTGCTTATGACTGTCTCAGATCTTAGTGCAGCTTTTTTTTTTTTTTTCCTGCCTTTGACCTTCACTGGGATTCCCAGCTGAGGTCCGTACTTGAGTCTAGCTGTAGCTATTAACTGGTTCCCACTGAGGAGGGATTAAACTTTTCCACGATAACCTTGACCTTCTTTCTCCTCATTCACCTTGTATTTCCCTAAGGTGACTAAACAGTGATTGACTAAGCATAAAAATAAGAGGCAAAAGGAGGAAAAAAAAAAATTTGAGAACACTTAGCTCTGTCCCAGGAGGCTATTCTATAGTCTGATTGTTCTTGCTATGCAGTATTTGTAACCTTTCGCCGTTTAAAAATAATATATGACAGAGACAAGCGGAGGCCTCCTGAATATTCAGATGGAAGCTGCAAATAGATTCATATCACAATTTCACTGTTATCCTTACTGCATGGGCATTTTGGCATGCTCAGTAATGCCATTTGCAGCTTCCTTGTATGTTGCTGGAGATTAAATATGGAGCAAAACGCCACCCACTCTGTGTAGAGATATCTGTTATAAGAAAGATGAGAGAACCATTTAGTGTTCTCCAGCATTCAGGCACTGCAGTTAGTTTCAGTGCGGCGTGCTGATGCAGGTGCCATTGTATTGTTGCTGGTTTTATTATTGTTATCAATGTCAGAATAGCACATAGCCGTTTCTGAAGAGATTTGTCCTTCCTAGTGCCATGCACAGTCCTTCCTAGTGCTATGCACAGGTCATGCGTATGGTAAGAAACCATCCTGCCATATAGCCTTAAAGCCTGTGTATGATCTTATAGTGCAGAGAGACTAGGATGTCCAGGGAAAAGTTGTCGCTTTCTGGAGGAGCTGGTTATGCTCCTGCAACAAGAAATCTGTGCCAGCGGGAAGGGTCCCACCCGGAGAGCGCCACCAGCCGTCTCGGTTGGCCGCTGCAAACATATCCACTCCCTGTATTGAACCACTCGTCCTATTGCTGCACGTTCACTAGTGGTGACCTTATGAGCTTTGACTTATTTTACAGCTTTTGGGACTTGAGTTTCAAAGTACATTGTTAGTGCATGTGGCTGTTCTCCTGGAGTCTGGAGATTTGCACTGCATGTTTCTCCATCATAGTTCTGGAGATCCTTTCTTCACAGGCAAGTGGATATCTCTTCCCACCTTTCTTCATACCCGCTCCCTGGGACCTGTTGCTTCATACTCCTTTTTTTTTTTTTTTTTTTCTACAGATTACTATTTCTATAAGATTTCTTATGCTCACCTAACCTTCCTGCCTTTCGAAAGACTGGTCATTAATCAAACCTAAATAAACCCTAGTCTCCTGTTTGACTGATGCAGAAGACTAGTCCAGTGGCGCTAGCCAGGCTGTAGGCTAGGATACAAGAGAAAGACCTTCAACTCCTACCTTGCCACAGATTATGTTGCGACTCAGGCACATCCTAAACACATTTTTCAAGTTGTGCACGCCAAGGATGGACTCAGTTGACTCCATGCTCAAGCTCCCTGCAGCCAGAGGCACACCACGTGCATTTGCAGCACGTTGTCGTGGCCCCTCTCATGCTCCATGCAGCTCTGCACACAGCTGGAGAGCAGATCCTTTGGTTGTCTCTTCCTTCTTTCCTTAGGTGGAAGGATGAGGAAAAGCATGTTTAACATCATAAGGTACATAAGTAAGGCGGCAATTTATGTACACAACCTCTCTTAGTTACAATCATTGCAGGCCAGGACAGAGTGAGAGATGAAGCAGAGGTCAGCATTTCCTATGTGCAGGACTGTATTTCTGCCTTTCTTTGTAGTGAGACTAATCAAGGCCTGTGGACTACTGTAAGCTTAGTTTATTTCTCTCTCTCCTTTTTTATTCCCTTTTTTTTTTTTTTACTATGCAAGCAAAGATTTTCTTGCTTGCATATTGGGCATCATGGCTCAAATATCAGCGAGTAAGTACATGAGTTTCATCAGATATAGTACAGACACCATGCACAGTAAATTTGCAGGAATATAAAGCTAATCCTATGCAGTTATTAGACAGGTGGTAATCATCAGTCTCCAAATGCGGGTTAGTTAGCATGACAAATATGCATTACAAATTAATGCTTAACTTACCTACAAGCCTTCACACCCCTTCTACCGCCAAGGTCCATCAGTGCTACAAGCTGAATTTCTTCTGATTTGACCTTTCCTGCTCAACTAGTGTGTATGATGTTGGGTGCTGGTTTAACTCTGAAGGGGATCAGTGCCAGTTTTAAATCAAGGATAGGCATTGCACAGTGAGTAGTAGTGTTTGGCCCTTATGACATGAGGGGCTGAAGAGGGGTTGTGCCGAGTGTGTACGTGTGTAAAGCACTTTTATTAAATGCATGACTGTACATAGTATTTGTTTAAAGTTATTTTTTAACATCTCTATCTTATAAGTGCCCTTGCTCATGTTAAAAAGCCTTAGATTGGATGATTAAACCTTCCAAAGGAGAGTAGGAGGACTACTGGAACAAGGGAGGAGAAGTGACAATCAAACGAATGAACAACATTGATCTAATGTCAATACAAACAACATAGAAGTAACCACGCTCTGTTGAGTAGTGTCATTTATCTAGATGAGATTTCTTCCTTGACAGAACCCCCCTCCATGGCTTAGTTTTTGCTGGAATGGGCCGTTTCCACACAACACAGAATAAATCCCTGGTCTTCCTCTTTCAAAAGTCAAATGCATTATTGTGATTTAAAACAGGACTTACTATGAGCAGAAACAAACATCATGAAATACTGGCAAAGCCCCTGCGATGTTTTCTTTCGTTTGTGTGGGCCCTTTTTTTTTTCCTTT